GCCATTGAATCGGGTCCCGATGAATTAATGGTCTAGGAGATCACCTGGTAACCGAAAAGTTCTTGGTCCGAAGCCTGACGAAACAGCTATCCAATACTCCCTACAGATTTTCTAATGGTTCGCTAACTTATATCGATCCACGGTCTAACCCAAAACAAATAAAATCCCTACACGCTAATTCTTGAAAATGTATTTATAGTCAAGTTTTTTTGGGGGGAATGGAGGTTAGCTATGTTCACTGATGTCCGAGGAAGATGATTACCACATTTTACATACAAACAAATATCAACAAATAGGGAAGAGTGAATGTAAATTCAAGCAAGTGTAGACAGACATCAAGTGCGTGTAGTGATAAAATAGAGTTTAAATTGTGAACTGTAATCAGATACATACTAGAGACATAATAAGCTGCTTAGTGTAAATTACAAAAGGTTGACACATAATAAAGGTAATAATGGAATAAAGTGAACCAGGTGAAAAGGCATGATATGACATGAAAATATGTGATGATTATGTCCCTGCTGACCTTATAATAGGCTAGGGGTAAACAAACAGGATGAATTTAAAAGTTAATTGGTGGAATCCAGCATGCGCACTTCGTCCTATTTGGGGCTCGTCATCTGGATGTACCTGAACTCCCCAGTGAGTGATGATTTCTCCACCGAGGATGAATGTGCTGTTTTTGCACACGCACATAGGTCAGGTTTCTTCTTATTAAGCTGTATAGCTTCAGCTATATCTAGGAGACGTAATCGTATGCCTTCGGGCAGATTTTTTGGTACTTACTTGATATACAACCGTAAATGACTTACCTATTTTGATGTCGTGTTCGCCACCTACTAGATGAGATAAAATAGCACTATTTATTCATTTGGTTACCCTTTTTCCAAGCCAAACGGAAAAATGTTCACGAGCGCGTAAAGATAAATTCCTCTAAGTTCGACATATATGTAACTAGTTCCACATAAGAAGCTGAATTTGTATACACACACTGGTGTGGCCATGTGTCAGTAACAACCTGGATGAGAAACTGATGTGTAGTTTTGCAGCACTGAAAGTTATTTCATCAACTGATCTGATCAACCTAAGACTTAATATATCACCTTTGAACCGTACTCTCAAATAAAGCTTTTCCTTATTCACCGTGTCATGCTTCATTTTATCAGTTCTTGTGGAAATATACTTTTGTACAAAATTGGTAGCAGGGTATTTTTTTCGATTTCAACTTTATTACAATCCATGGTAAATATTCATCTGATTCTACGACTAAAACAACGAATCAAATTATGGGACAAACAACTAATGTTCATTAATAAAATATCCATGCATTCGGTACTAACGTTTAAGCTTCTTGTGAAATGGCATGTGATGACTGATGATCTGTGAACCTCCACAAAATTAGAACTTAAGTGCTTAAATAACACAAAATACGTCTTTTTTTAAGGGCGGGGAAGGGGGTTCGGCATAACAGAATTCCAATGATGTGTACTGCATCACAGAGGTGAGTAACTCGATTACCATGGTAGTTTTTTTATCAAACTACACGGATGAAATCCAACCATCACTACCCTCAAGTAGTTTCAATGAAAATATGAGCAATTCTGAGGAAATAAGTGTTGTGATCAAACACAAATACTAGTGAGAAGTTATTACTGGTGGACACAGTAAGTGTTATGTTTGAGGATATTGGTGCTGTGTAGGGAAATGATAGAAGTAACAGAGGGAATTTCTAGCTTGCGTGGATGGATGCTTTCGAATCAATTGTGTTCTCTGTCTGAGCTGGTGTTGATGGTTTAATTGTGAAGCTTTTGTTGTCCGCCTAATAGACAGTACCGCTTCAGTGAAGCTTTAAGTACGAAATGAACTTAAGTGAATTCTCCATGAATGCTGATATAAATGTATCTCCCTACTGACTACCATCCTCTGCAAGAACTGGAGAGGAATCATGCTCCTGCCGACGCCAAGTAAAATCCTGAGTCGCATCATCCTGGAGAGAATAAAGGACACACTGGATGCAGAACCCCGACGAGAACAAGTCGGATTCAGGAAAGGCAAATCATGTTCTGACCAAATTGCAACTCTATGCATCATCATCACAGGACAAAGCATGGAATGGAAATCAAACCTCTACCTCAGCTTTATAGACTTTGAGAAGGCCTTCTACAGCGTTGACCGCGAAGTAATTTGGAAACTACTCGAGTACTACGGCGTATCCCGAATATGCATCAGCCTTATTCAACGGCTATACGACAACGGCATATGTCAAGTGATCCACAACGGAAAACTCAGCGAGGCGTTTGGAGTAAACACAGAAGTCAGACAAGGGTGCTGGATTATTATCACCAATGAATGATATTCCTAATTGTGGTGGACTGGATTATGCGTCAGACAGTGGGAAACGAGAAGACAGGAATATCCTGGACCGACCGACGTGAAGAACCTAGAACACCTGGATTTCGCGCGTGGATGACTTAAATTTGATGTCACACGAAATCGAAGACTTACAAGCGAAAACCGACAAACTGGTCGAAGAAGCAGCCGGCGAAGACAGGACCCCAGGTGAACATAGACAAGACGGAGGTTATGAAAATAACCAACCAACCAACAACAACAACAGCAGCAACTTCCAGCGCCAATCACCATCAACAGGAGGGATTTGAAAGAGGTTACTTCATTCACTTATCACTTATCCAGGGAGCATTGTCTCTCTCAACTACAGACAGTCGGAACGGACGAGGATGTCAAATCGAGCGAGAAACACATTCACCAATCTGGAAACCTTCGTCACTCAGCATCAACAACAAAATCCAGTCGGATTTTCAATACAAACACGTCAAGTCAGTCAGTTCTTCTATACGGATCAGAAACTTGTCAGCGGGTGGGTCACAAAGAATATTTCCAACAGCCTGTTGCAGACCTACCTTTATCAACCAACAACTGTCTTCGCTGGCTCTATACTGAAGATCAGATGACCGGGCCGGAAAGAACCACCAACAAGAAACTATGGGAACAAACAAAACATTAAGCAATCGCCAGCCAACAAATATGCAGGAGGAAGTGGAGATGGATTGAACACTCACTCTCTGAGGAGGCTGCTGGGTGACATCGCGTGCGCGTCAGGCCACCGCTCGAGTGGAGCCTGAAAGGGAAGCGGCGAGTGGGACGTCAGTGCAATACTGACATGAAGGAGATCGTTTGAAGAGGAGTTGAAACAGTATGGACTAAGGTGGATGCAGGTGAAAAGTACAGCAGAAGGAAGACAGAAGCAAGTGGAGACGTGCAGTTGTAGCCCTGTGTTCCACTAGGAACCCAAGGGAACAATAATAATAATAATAACTGACTACCATTGTCGTAGTGATTGGTTATTAATTGATGTGTCTATTGATCAATTTTATTGACTTTAAACTTTCTTGCCATGACTTTTAGTTTTTTATTAGTTGGTAAATTTGGTCCATAGAGGTAACATGTTTGATAATCACTGATTCATTTAGGTACCAGGCTTCTAGAAACTCCCTGACTGCATTTTTGGTGTTTCCCTCTGTTTGAAATTTCTATATTATCCCAAACAAATTAGTGTCCATAATTACCTCCATGCATCGATATGAAACAGGAATACATTTCATACCTTCTCACAGCTAATTTGTATTCTTGGATTAAACTGACAACCAACCATGACAGTGGTTCTCAAGAGATACATTGAAGATGTTTCCTAGGAGGACAACGAAAGCTACGTAACTAAATCAACTAATTCAGAAAACGCAACTAAATCAGAATGAGATAAGTTAGAATTCATAGGTGGATTATGTAAATGGCCATGCTGACTTCATAACCTGAAATCCCTGAGTTTGATTTAAATAATGAGACCATAGGTGACTACTATAAAGAATAACATAAGATTAACTTGAAAGGTATGAAGAAGGTTATGGGTAACAAATCGATCTAGAAAATTTGACACCAATGAATCTTTGGTGGAAATCTGAACCTAAAAAATATTACCGTAAGTTATCCGGGTGACTTCAATTGACTGATATCACATTACACAGGTGACATATGATAAGCTACTCGAATCTTTCGTGTGATAAGGTGAAATTAAATAGCAGCAAAAACAGTTGTTAAGGAAAAGGGTACTCAAACACACACACACACACACACACCAAGGAATAGGAAACTATTTGCAGATACTTCAACCTATGACAGCGTCAAATAAATGCGTGGTGAGAGCTGTCTGCTAGACAAAATTGTAGACAACAATTTACGTTAGTGCTATTTACGTCCCGAATCGGGCTCATGAGAAAATAAAACACAATAACAAAGCTTAACCTCCAGGAACTCATCAATCAATCACAGCAGACTTAGCGTATGCAAATATGATTCGCAGATATATGGCTTAACTTTCTGAGAAACGGTCGCAAAGAGATAACAGAATAACCTTCAGCAAGAAAACAACCAATCAGAAGACGTTGCTTCTCCGCTGACAATAATGTACATAAAAATCTATTAATATCTCTTGATTTTCTCAATAAACGATCTGTTGCTTGGCTTTTGTCTTGTGTCGTTACGACACAATTCTGTAAGTAGTAACATGACTGTGTACCATGTCTCCGGCAAGAATATTGAATATTAGCAGAATGGCAGATTCAGCGAAAACGATGATAACTGAAAGATCCTTTGCGTGAAGAAACAATACAGAGAAAGCATGAAAGGAAGGCAGAGGAAGAAGCAGCATACACAGAACATGTCCTTTATCTGGCCATAACTGGATATCATTCAAATGGGAGAGAACAATTCCACCGTACTCTGCCATTCATTACAAACTAACACACACGTATTGTGTTTTCTAGTTACAAGAAGCTACACCACAGGTGTCAGTCCCCCGTCTTCATCACTAAGGCAGAATAACTCCTGTCACATTGAGTGAGGTCTATTATACAATTTATTTCAAAACACTGTGTAAAGTAATAATAAGAAGCACTGTATTTACATTTTTTTTAAATGTTACTTTAATCACTATCACTGTGGTCTGAATACACCATTCCAGGTAAAGCTGAACACAGCTGGGCATCATTATCGTTTGTACATGAAGTGTGTTTATCAGTCGCTACACTTGTTTCTGATTTTTCATTCTTTAGAGGATTGCTGACGAGACTATTTGAAGTATCTTTGCTACTTGACACAATAGAGTCGCTACTAGATACACTATCGATTTTCGCTATCTTCGCTTCTGTCCGTTGTTTTGGCACGACCAGAACACCTTGAAGTTGTCTCTTCAAATAAGATTTCCCGCTCTTCGAGGTAAAAAAAAGTTGTAAAAACGAATAATCAAAAGAAATACAAAAGAAATAATACAAATAAATACACAATGAATATATTATCAAGTGTTGGTTGGTTTGCAGGGATTCGATTGGTTACAGGATTTCATCACGAGCTGAATTCGGTTAGAGAACTATTGGAAAACCTCCACTGGAGTACTGGACAGCTGTTTCATCAGTCCAGTTTGAGACTCTTCAACAGTACACATCCGCCCCACTGCCAGGGTTCGAAGCCACGACCTTTCGGTTACAAGGCGAGCTCTTAGAACATTGAGCCACTGAAACCCAATCCAATGGCCAGCCAATGTCACAGGCGAATAACTGTCCACTTGCCTGACTTGGTGGATCCCACTGGTTTCGATTTCTCACTAAAACCTTAGGTGATTCTTGGGTCCAACCCCCGGTGAATGTGTACTGACGAAAAGTCCCAATCTGGGACGAAACGATAGTCCAGTACTCCCAGTTGGTTTTCCAATAGTTCCCTAAATAAACACATTTTCCCAAACGATCCCATTCATAGCTAATATCATTTATAGGTATTGTCAATACCTGAAGTTAACGAGAGAGTGACTTCAATGGAATGCAAAATGTGAAGGTAGCGATCACAATTTTTAAAAATGTATAATTCAAAATCATCTATACATAAATTTCACTCGCCACACACTGTTACCATGCATCCCACATCCAAGGAGGCAGAAGGTAAATTAGGTGGAAAGGCGAACAAGTCTGTTCCACGCAGTAACTAAGTCCTAACTAGCAATTTAGGCAGAAGTGAAATCATTTTAGTCCCATATTAGATAAATTTATGCGATTACATTCTACCCTACAGTGCCAAAATTCTACCCTGTGATGATTTAAAATAACTACAGGATTTTCATCATGAGTTGACATCGGTTAGAGAACCACTGGAATACCACCACTGGAGTACTTTTTCATGCTAGTTTGGAACTCTTCATCAGTACGCACCCACCCCACTTCCAGGGTTCATACCCACACGACCTCCTGGTCACAAGGTGAACTTGTAGGTCATCAAGCCACTGGGACTCGATCCAATGGCTCAAGAATTCCAACTTCGGTCAATTCACGATACAACGCGACCAGGTGAGTAGTTACCTAGGTTCCTGTGGGAAGTCATGGCCAGCGGGGTACACCGAAGTCAGGTGTGCGGACAAATACTCACCAGCAGTGACATTGGCTAGTGCCAATCGCACTACATCGTGAATTGGTGGGAGTTGAAATTTATGGGTAGGCCACTGGATAGTGTCCCAATGGCTTAATCGTCTAACAGCCCACGTTGTAAGCGGAAGGCCTTGTTTTCGAAGCCCGGTGGGTGCGTACTGATGAAGAGTCCCAAACTAGGGCGGAACGGGCGTCCAGTACCCCAGTGCTGGTTTTCCAGTGGTTCTTTAATCGATGTCAGCTCATGATGAAATCCTGTAACCAGTCAAATCCCTGCAAACCAACACTTAAAATTTAAAACAGTATTGTTATAACTTACATCAACTGGTCCTTTTTTAGTAGAGTTCATAAGTTCTTTCAAATCTAAAAAAATAAGAAAAGAATTAATTATAATTCCATACTATTTTGATTATTAGATGGATATATCACACAGTGAAACAGTATTATTTAATGGATAGCAACGCGTTTCGAACACAATTTATTACTGTTCATAATCATATCAGTTATAATCACACAACTTCGAAAGTTCTGTTTCAGAGTTTGTTTTTATTCGTCGTAGGGGCGTAGTACAATTTTCCAGATGTCTGGATGGACAGGTATCGTGACATTCTCATTACACGTACTCTCTTCAGCTGATTCGATAGATAAAGCTTGCGTTGTTATCAACCATTCTCTCTACCCTGTTCCACTAGATTTTTGAACTGTCATCTTATCCTATCCATCCTATTGTATGGTTGGTTGTGTGTAATAGCATGTAGTGAGTGCTATAGCTGAACTAACTATTCTCTGGATTTCTTATTTTGTTCGGGTCAACTAATCTAGAGTTTGATACTAGGTTTTTATGCTCGGCTAGTCTGACTGCACCTGTTCTACTACTTTGACCTGGTAATCATTTCAGGGTATTAGATGAACTGAATTGTTTTATTTAATTGGCTACACATGATGCTTTAACTTAAAAAGCTTGTTTCTAATTGGGTTGTGGGTAGTTTGAATGCCACTTTTATTCCTGCCTGTATTGTTAAGAATTCTACGTGAGGTTTCTGAGGTTCCTTCTTTATATGGAAGTACTACTGATGACTTTAATTCCTTGTTGATGTTGTCATTATTCTCTGCATGTTTGATATGCATCCCATCATTAATATTATTATCATTATCATTATTATAAATTTTAGTTTTACATTTTCCTACATACTTCCTGATTAATTTATCAGAAAAACTGCTAAGTTTTAAAGCTTCTTTTATATGCCACACTTCCTGTCTTAGATTTCCCTTAGTGCGTCGGTGGCACAGTGGTTAGGACTCTCGCCGACCATGCACATGGTCCGGGTTCGAGCCCACGCCGGCGCATACCTGATATCTATGGTCGGCCTGCAAAATTTGGGCTACCGATATCCATGCTGAAAATTCCATACTTGTACCCAAAATACAGTGTGGAATCAAGCTGTAAATCAAAAATAAAAATAAATAGTACTATTTAGTTTTTGTGCTCTATTACTTAAACATTTCACCTGTCTTATTTTTACTGACATAGGATGGGATGATCAGAAATCCACATATCGGTTTGAATGTCTGGGTTTTCTGTAAACACTAGTGTTTAACTTCCCATCTTCTTTCCTTTTTATTCTACAATTTAACATTGGAAGCTCCCCTTCCTGACTTTCCAACTCACAAATGAGTTGAATTGCCTCCACCTTTGAGTTGATGTGTTAAAAAAGTATGTTTATGTCCTGTGTTCTGAGTACAGTGAATGTGTCATCTGCATACCTTCACCATACTTTTGGGGGCGGGGCTAAATGTTTCAATCGCTAAGTTTTCCCACCTATTCATGAATATATCTGCCAAAACCGGGGATATTGGCAACCTCATGGCAACTCCCTCAGTTTTTATGGCATATTTTCCCTTGGAATTTAAATACTATATAAGTCAAGCATAGCTGTACGCCTAGCACTATGTCTTCTATTGTAAATTTTGTTCTAAGCTCAAGTTGTTGGTCGAAAATGATATCAATCCGTGATCAACTCGTAAAAACAAAACTAACCCTTATAAACCAAACTAGAAAATAAATCTGATGCTCGCTAGTGACTTGCTACAGGATGGAGTTCCCTGGAGTTCTAGTGAGAAGTTGTGACCAGTGCAGTCCATCCAGATCTCACGTGTGAGGATGGATGTCCCACCGACAACAATGGTTGGGGTCGAGCTGAGTTGGTAGAAGTTAGAATCCATGAGCCATTGAATCGAGTCCCAGGGGATGAATGGTATACGAGCTTACCTTGTAACCAGAAGGTCCTGGGTTCGAACCCCAACGGGTGCGTACTACTGATGATTCCCAAACTAGGTAGAGACTAGCTGGTTTTCAACGGTTTTTCTAACTGATATCAAACCGTGATCAACTCGTAAAAACCAAAATGAGTTCGTTTCTGACAGCTTCTATAATAATAAGAAGAAGAATACTTCGCTTAGACACTGGCTAGTAACTAGCGCAGACTGAATTCTATCAGTCAAGTTTGTAATGCGGCCACCATGCCACTACTAGGTGGCCATCACAGTGCACTGCACTGTGAATTTTTGATATTAGATATAGACATAGGCAATCGGCAGGAAGACTTCCAGCTAGGTTTCGTGCAAGGAACTCATGTCCTGATATTCAACCCACCTGTCACCACCCAGTGCTGCAGTCCGACAGAGAGTGACGTTACCATTGAGCTATTCAGACTCGCGATCGACCTCCTATAGGACTGATTGTCCTGGATACTTTGATAATAATCTCGGAAGTGACTTTAGTTCCTACAAGATTGCGGATACGCCTTGTTGGCTGATGAGTGCCAACTAGGACGAAACCTAGGTGGTGGTGCCCAAAGTTTTCTGCCGATTGCCTCCAACCATCTAATAATAATTATTATTATGATAATTATAATTATAGTGTCACTGACTTGATACTTTATTCACTTTCATCGGTTGACTGGTTTCAGGCTCCACTGGTAATGTATGCACTTGTTCTGCTTTTGATGCAAGTAATTCTCTGTAGAACAAATTTCAATATTAAGCAATAAATAAAAAATTACTTTATCAAGGCTTCATCTGCTTCATTTTCTGCCTCTTTAAGTGCTTCTTCTTCTTGCCACATTTTTCTCAACAGGACATGATCTGCTTCCATTGTTGCTTGACGCTGATTTAATTGTTTTAAATCTTCAATGACTTCAACCATTTCCATTTCTTGTTTGCTTTGATCTGTTCTTTTTTCTAACAATTTCATTGGATTATTAGCAAGTTCTTCTTCTTCTTCAGCTTGTCTTTTAGCTTCTAATTCTTCAGCAGTTTTTAATGCTTCAAAATTGCGTTTCGCTCCACTTTCTAGGACATAGTCACCACTTTCTAAATCTGTCTGTTAGAGAATACAACATAACATAACGATAATCAATAACATACACGCCAAATAATCTCAGCACAGCACAAAGGACAACGTATATAGAAACGATAATGTCTTAAGCCTAAATAATCCACATTCTCGGCTGTTTCCATTCTTGAATTAAACTTTTTCGCTTTATATATGTATCCATTGCATGTATTACATCTAAAAAGAAGAATTATTTATACTATGATTTAGTATTTTGTAGAAGTGTTTACCTCATATTGAAAGGAGCCATTGTACGTATATTGAATTGTTTACGTCGATCACCTCTTCGAAGACGAGGTATTTTTGATGGATCATAGTCTGGAGGAAAATATTTCTATAAAAATCAAAAAATAAGCACATGCCATCTTGCAAAACTTACATTTAGAACTTTGCGTTCAGTCATAGCTGGAAGTCAGTTGGAGAGAGAAAAGGAAGCTATAAAAATAAAGATTTATAAGGTAAGAATGAATGCATACTTATAATCGGCAAAATGAACTCGACTACCAATTTATAATACTGACTAAACTTTGAATCGATATTAGCTAGTGACTAGTGTTGTGTATCTGACAAGTGTCAGGTGATCTACAAGAGGAAGCTCAGCGAAGAAGCGTTTGTCTGTCTGTCTGTTTTCGACATAGAACTTTGCACAAATGTACGCCAGTTCAAGTCGCCACACTCCGTGTAGCACGCGAAGCAAGAGAAGAAAGTACAAGAAAAGCATAATAGAAACAGTGAGCAGAGGTGTGAGACAAAGGAAGAGTAATAACGAAGAACAAAACAGTTTCATTGGAGATCATAAGTCACAAGGAGTGGATGCATCTGCGCTGTCATTGAGAACGATTTTGAGCCATGTCACCAATTGTTTCCAACCATAGATTTTTACTGTCCCGAGGACCCCAGCCTGGAAGTCTACACCTTCCTACGTGGCTTAGACCAACTGTTGTGGATTTCATTGACTGGTGAGGCCATGTTTTTGTTTGACCGCCGCTAGCTTTTTTCCAGCCTGACCCTATATCCGCTAACATTGCTCGTCGAGGGAGGCGATGGCTTGGCATACGTAACACATGTTCTAACCATCTCAGTCTTTGTAACTTCACGACTTCGTCGATTGATTTCCTCTGTTTACCTAGAACTCGACGCCTAACTTCAATGTTGCTCACCTTATTATGCCACTTTACACGGAAATAGAGCGCAGGCACCTATGATCAAAGAGAGCTATCCAGGCTGTTCATGTCTTCCACTCTCAGTGGCCAGATCTCACAACCATAAAGGAGGACGGAGCGGACTGATGAGCAGTACACCCGCCCTTTGGTCGATAGTCGAACATCTCGTCTACGCCAGAGTCGGCGTAAACTGGCAAATGCGAAACGAGCCCCCTGTATTCGTGCCGAGATTTCGTCAGAGATCAGCCCGTTGGGGCTGATGGTACTTCCCAAATAAGTGAAGCGGTCAACGTGCTCTACCACTTCACTCCCTATTTTTAAACTAGGCGTCGATGTAGTCCAGTCCTGTAACGTCATCTTGCATTTGGCGGGAGCGAATCGCATGCCAAACATTCGTAGATTGCGGCTCAAGGTGTTTAGAAGACTCTGCATTTCGTCAGCGTCTTCGCCTAGAAGGACTATATCGTCTGCATATTCCAAGTCAACGAGATTATTCCCCGGTAGCAAGTCAATCCCTGAGTCGCTGAAGTCACTTAGGGTTAAGTCCATTAACACATCTATGATGAAGTTGAATAGATAAGGGGATAATGGGCATCCTTGACGGACACCACTGGTCGTCATCAGTTCAGATGACAGCTTTGACGTTTGACGTGAATACAAGAGTAAGACAAGGCTGGCTGACTGCCAATTACCACCGACGATGATAAGCTTAATTGTGGTGGATTGGATTATGCGTCTGACTGTGCGTGGGGAGGGGGGAGACAGAAATACGCTGCACTGACCGATAAGAAGACTTTAGATCTGGATATTTCACAGATAATATATGTCTAATGTCACATAAACTCGAAGACTTGCAGGTAGGCAAAAAGCAACAAACTGGCCGAAGAAGCAGGACTCCAGGTGAACACAGAGAACACGGAGGTGATGCAAATAACCAACCAACAGCAGCAACCAGCACTAATCACCATCAAAGGGAAAGAATCAACAAAGGTTGCCTCCTTCACTTATCTACGCAGCCAGCATCATTTCAACTATTGGCGGGCTGAATGGATGATGTCAAAGGCAGCCGGCGAGAATCAGAAAGCCAAGATTAGCCTTCATCAACCTGAAATCAGTTTGAAATCTTCTGAACTTCGCCTCAGTATAAACAACAAGATTCAGATTTTCAACACAAATGTCAAATCGGTCTTTCTATCTGTCAGTCTGTTTTCGACATAGAACTTTGCACATATGTGCGGCAGTTCAAGTCATCACACTCCACTCCTTGTAGCACACAGAGCAAGAGAAGTAGAAGAAATGCATAATAGGGACAGTAAACAGAGGTGTGAGACAAAAGAATAGTAATATCGAAGAACAATATAGTTTTATTGGAAATCATAAGTCACAAAGAGTGGATGCATCTGTGTCAGCCATTGAGAACGATTTTGAGCCATATCACCAGTTGTTTCCAGCATTCATTGGTTTTTATCATCTCGAGGACTCCAACCAACCAGTCAGGAAGCCTACACCTTCTTAAGTGACTTAAACTAACTGTTGTAGATTTCATTGACTGGTGCCATGTTCTGGTTTGACCGCCGCTAGCTCTTTTCCAGCCTGACCCTATGTCAGCTAACACTGCCCGTTGTCGAGGAAGGCGATGACTAGGCATACGTAACACATGTACGAACTATCTCAGTCGATGTAATTTCACAGCCTCGTCGATCTATTTCTCCTCCTTCTATACGGGTCAGAAACTTAACCAGCGTGCCAAGAAAAGGATTTCTAACAGGCTAGTGCAGAATTTTATCAACTTCTGTCTTGGCTGGCAGCATACTGAAGATAAAAATGGCCAGCCAGATAGAATTAGTAACCAGAAGGTCTGGCGATGGACAAACCCACAAGCAAGAGGCGATCGCTCAATAAATACGTAGGAGAAAATGGAGATGGATCGATCAGGCATACATTGGGGAAACTGTCGAATGACATCGCGCGCCAGAAAGCGTGCCGCTAAGGAGAGAAAGTTGTGTTAACGCAGTTAAAACCATAAACCTTTCTTATCCTATAGCAGCAGTAATGAATGGGATTTCCTTTCCTGGAAATAGGCACTCAACTATAAAAATTTATTAAATGCTCATTCCATATCTGTCTGTCTGTCTGTTTTCGACATAGAACTTTGCACAAATGTGCGGAAGTTCAAGTCGCCACATTCCGTGTAGCACGCGAAGCAAGAGAAGAAAGTACAAGAAAAGCAAATAGAAACAGTGAGCAGAGGTGTGAGACAAAGGAGTAATAAAGAAATACAAAACAGTTTCATTGGAGATCATAAGTCACAGGGAGTGGATGCATCTGCGCCACTGAGAACGATTTTGAGCCATGTCACCAATTGTTTCCAACCATAGATTTTTGCCGTCCCGAGGACCCCAGCCTGGAAGTCTACACCTTCCTACGTGGCTAAGACCAACTGTTGTGGATTTCATTGACTGATGCCAAGTTTTTGTTTGACCGCCGCTAGCTTTTTTCCAGCCTGACCCTATATCCGCTAACATTGCTCGTCGAGGGAGGCGATGGCTTGGCATACGTAACACATGTCCTAACCATCTCAGTCGATGTAGCTTCACGACTTCGTCGATTGATTTCCCCTGTTTACCTAGAACTCTACGCCTAACCTCCATGTTGCTCACCTTATTATGCCACTTTACACGGGAAATAGAACGCAGGCACCTATGATCAAAGACAGCTAGTCTTTTCATGTCTTCCACTCTGAGTGGCCAGGTCTCACAACCATAAAGGAGGACGGAGCGGACTGATGAGCAGTACACCCGCCCTTTGGTCGATAGTCGAACATCTCGTCTACGCCAGAGTCGGCGTAAACTAACAAATGCGAAACGAGCCCCTTGTATTCGTGCTGAGATTTCGTCAGAGATCAGCCCGTTGGGGCTGATGGTACTTCCCAAATAAGTGAAGCGGTCAACGTGCTCTACCACTTCACTTCCTATTTTTAAACTAGGCGTCGATGTAGTCCAGTCCTGTAACATCATCTTGCATTTGGCGGGAGCGAATCGCATGCCAAACATTCGTAGATTGCTGTTCAAGGTGTTTAGAAGACTCTGCATTTCGTCAGCGTCTTCGCCTAGAAGGACTATATCGTCTGCATATTCCAAGTCAACGAGATTATTCCCAGGTAGCAAGTCAATCCCTGAATCGCTGAAGTCACCTAGGGTTAAGTCCATTAACACATCTATGATGAAGTTGAATAGAAAAGGAGATAATGGGCATCCTTGACGGACACCACTGGTCGTCATCAGTTCAGATGACAGCTCGCCGTAAGCCCTCACCTGGCTGTATGAGTACGAATAGAGTGCCTTAATCAGTGCAATATATTTTCTCGGAATTCCCTTTACAGCCAAGCATCTCCAGAGAACTTCCCGATCGACAGAGTCGAATGCTGCCTTTAGGTCAAGAAATATAATGACTGTTGGACGCCGGTAGGAATGCCTATGTTCTAGAATCTGTCGGAGGGTGAAGATATGATCAATACACCCTCTTCCTGGTCTAAAGCCTGCCTGGCTCTCTCGTGTTTGTGCTTCCCGAGCACCACTCAGTCTACGCATGATTATTGAGCCTAAGACTTTAGATACTATATTAGTCAAGCTAATCCCTCTGTGATTATCACAGGAAGACTTGTCTCCCTTCTTGTATATGGGGATAATCAGTGACTTACACCAACCCGATGGGACTTCTTCTGATTCCCAAACGCTGCCTAGTACCTCAGTTAATCCGGACAGTAAGCTGTCTCCACCGTACTTAAATACCTCTGGAGTCATTCCATCAGGTCCCGCTGCTTTGCCTAGTTTCAGATTGGTGACAGCTTTAGTAACCTCAGTTAGTGACGGAGGACCTGTATCTATATCCCATTCAGGGAGGTGTTGGATGCTCGGAAGGTTGAGCGTGGCTGTGGGCAAATTAAACTGCTCCTCATAATGCTCTTTCCAACGATCCAGTCGTCTATCCTGTGAGCTAATTATAGTGCCATTTTTTTCCGAGATTGTCTCACTAATGATTTGTCTTCTCCCACCCGTTTCCCTGATGAGTCCAAAGAGTTGCCTGGTGTTGCCTATCCTCAAAGCTTTCTCCATCTCTTTGGCTTTTGTCGCCCACCACTGTTCACGGTCCTTGCGGAGACTTTTCGTAAGTTTCCTCTTGTGCAGCTTTCGCTCCTCATTGAATTCGGAGCTCGCCGGAATAAGTCTTCTAGCATCTATCAGTTCGGATGAGGCGGTGGAGATCCAGTGGTTTTTACTCACCTTTGGGTTTACCTTATTCACAGCTTTTACAGCTGTATCTATGGCTGCCTGGATATTTTTCCAAGCTTCTTCAGGGTGAGCACAGCTGTCGAACACAGATATGTGTTTAGCTAGTTCTTCCTCAAATACGGATTTAGTTTCCTGATCGAGCTGGGGACGTGATGGTTTTACCGCCAGCTGTTTCCTACGTCCGTTCAGTCGTAAGCACACCCGAGCGCGGACCAGTGCATGGTCGGTATCTACGCACGTGTTCCAGAAGGAGCGACAATCTCCTACCGACCCACGCCAACGATAGCTTATTGCTATGTGGTCTATTTGTGTCCAGCGTTGGTTTGATGAAGGGGGTCTCCAAGTCAAACAGTGTCTCTCCTTGTGTTTGAAGTTAGTGCTTACAAGAAACAAATGATTATCAGAGCAGAACTGTAGGAGACGGTCACCGTTGTCGGTTCGCTGGCACGGAACTCCATAGGTGCCACCGACATCCTTCTCAGATTGACACAATTTCCCTACTTGAGCGTTAAAGTCACCAGCTAGAACGACTATGTCTGAGCGTTTAGCCTTTCTCACCAAACTAGACAGCTTTTGGTAGAACTCATCCTTCGTTTCATCTGAACTGCAGTCAGTGGGGGCGTAGGCGGAGATTACGAAAAGGCATCGGCGAGTAGTGCAGTCCTTCCTCCTTCTTACTGATCCGTTCAGGCGGACAGCACACATTCGGCTATCTACCGGGATCCAGTCAAGCAATGTCTTTTCTGCCCTAGTACTCAAAGCTATCCCTACGCCAGCTAATCCTCGTGAACTAGCTGTGGCATCTCCTGACACCCTCAAGGTGAATTTTGCAGATTCAACCTGTTGGCCAGGTGGGGTTAGGTGAATAACCACACTTGGGTCTTGTATGCGTGTTTCTGAAACACAGCATACATCAATGGCTCGTGATGCCAGGGTCTTGGCTAGTGATGCTTGTTGTCCTATTTGGCAAAGTGTCCTAACATTAAGAGCTCCTATATGAAATTGGTGGCGCGGCTTTAAGAGGCTGTCGGTGGTGGTTTTTTGGCTTCCATCGTTTTTAGTGGACGCAGAGTGGAGAGGAAGTGGAGAGCTATCAAGTCGAGGAGTTGCATCAGTGGAAGGAAGGCAAGATGATAGAGATGAAGATGAAGACAAAGATGAGTGAGTAATAGAGAGGTTTCGTGTGCATTTCGGATTGTGAGGGCGATTGTTACTTCCCGGCTGCCCACACCGTGGAAGTTGGTTGCGTGACCGCAGAGCCCAGGGGACAACTGCTCATTCCATATACATTTTTGATGGTTAGATATTTCATGATATCCATCATTACATATCAAGAAAATCAATTTCTTGTTCAGATTTCTTTTTTAGGGCAAATTTTAAAGATAGATGGTAGTTGTGTTTTTTGAACACAAACTACTATTGAGAGAAACTACATGCTTATGATGAGTGACGAAAGTGTTGCTTCCAGTGGCTTGACCAAACAGTGTTCTCAAGCTTTGACATAAAATGATGAGCTAGTAATAGGCCTAGTGGTGATTCCACTGCAATACTATTCTTCTGTCTATACACTGAACAGGCATCTCAATAAGAGTTCTTTAGAATAGGTCGCTGGCAGCCCTACATGCGTCGACATAATTACATATATATAGCAGAGGCTTACTGTGAATAGTACAATAAACGAGTTCAGATCTAATAAGAATATGACTGTCTCAGACATTACAAATTGAAACGTACTACTACCAATGCGAAGCTTAGATACAAAGGGAACTACTGGTGAATACATTTTTTAACTCATGTAAAATTCCCATTGTAACATTTAGAAAATCAAAACAAGTGATTCAGCGAAGAGACTCTTTTCAACGAATTTATCATCAAGCTGTACAGTCGTATATATATGGTTTATCAGAAGTTATATCCGGTGAGGGAATTGAATCTTAGGTGTGAATGCACAAAATAATAATAATAATCATATGAAGTTCGATTAAAACTAAAATGTTTGTGATTATAATCGTAGTTAAATGTCAAGTGGCAAAGCAGATTAATGTCACATATAGAATAATTCATAGGAGGGATAGAACTTGAAAAAGGATGTGCAATTATAGGATTAGTAGGCAAATCGAATAAAACAAAAACGTTACGTAATATTGTGTGAAATTTAATAGCATAGAATTTATCGTCGTAAAAAACAATTGATTTAGAATGACAAGTGGAACAAGTGAAATAATACCGGGGACAGTTCAAAGTGAGAATAGTAATAATAACAATTGACTTAATAAGGAAGAGTATACAAATTGAATAGACAAAATGAAAAATTGGTAGAGCTAAAATATGATTGGGGATTATCATATTTTAGCATAGAGGGATTAAGACCATGAGAGTTGGAGGGGTTGAACGAACTTTTTCTGTACACAGAGATCTGGCTTTTCTGTTTCGATAGCCAAAGCTTCAGCAATACAGATGAGTCGGGTACGTAGGGATTTAGGTAAATTGCTCTTTGCCTTGTAGATGACTTTAAAGGCGGAGGCTATAGAGATAGGGTGATCATTTTCGACCAGATGTTCTATGATCGCACTTCTTATTGCTCTACTTCCACCTTTTCGTAGCCATGCAGGATAATGTTCTTGCACCCTCTTGGACAAAACTCGAGTCGAACGACCGATATACCTAGCTCCACAAGAGCAGGTGAATTGATAAACGCACATAGAGTTGGTCAACATTGGGATCTTGTCCTTCAGGTTATTGAACAATAATGGTCGGCTAGTAAAAGCTATTCTCAGAGAGGCAGCAGGGAATGTTGTTTTCAGGGACTGTGATATCCTTCGTTTCATGATATCGGAAGCTAAGTCCCCTTTGAATTCTAAGCTCATGTAAAGTATTTTCTTGGGAGCGGTTGATAAGTCACGTTTTGTAGGCTTCGAATGTATATTCTTATCTATAAAACGTGGTGGAAATCCATTTACCATTAGGATAAGCCATATATATACGACTGTACAGGTTGATGATAAATTCGTTGAAAAGAGTCTCTTCGCTGAATCACTTGTTTTGATTTTCTAAATGAATACATTTTTCTCCCGGTTATTAGCGAAATCTACCCTAAAATGAGAAACTGTGGGGTAGTTTGATTACTATCTTTGACTTTAAGGTTTTTTTGCATACATCGAAAGGACAAGAAGACGAGATCCTAGCACAAGTAAATGGAAACAAAGGGCTTGAGGAGGTGTGGCGGTTATGTCAATAAACTGATGACAACTGAATGAAATTAAACTTAGCTAAATTATACGTGATGCGTTGAGGAAAACGTGTGCCATTAGATGGAAACATTAAAACTTTCCGAAACAAAAAGAATGTATCGTGATCAAGCATTTTATGATGGGTCACGACCTTCTGGATTCAATATGCGACGTAAAACGACTAGACATGATAAGAATTCTACTGTTAAGACGAAGAAATTAATACCAATGGTATTGCCATAGTCTGTAGCAAATACTTTTGAATAAGAGTTTAGAAGTGTGCATCAGTGACATAGCGGTTAGGACGCTCGCCGCCAACCATGCACATGGTCCCGGGTTCGAGTCCCGGCCGATGCACAGAAATAAAGCTAGTAAAGAGGAAAGCTTGGGCATGATGTTAGCAACCCCATCATGTAAAAATAAGCACTGCTACAGAAACTTCAAACCTAGCTTGAGACCCTATGTTCCACCACTGAGAACGTGGAGAAATAAAAAAAGAGTTCAGAAGTAATGAAATTCTTCTGGACTCTTTTATAGGATTACTGATTCTGATTCAGAGTTTCAAACATTTTTGTGTATTTAGATTCTGCTGTTTTGCGATACGGTATTTTTGAACCAGTCTCTGTGGAACATTGTGCAGAAAGAGAATGTTTGAGTAGTCAAAAACGCTCAGGAAGCCACTAAGAAGAATTTCAGCCTAACTTCTTGCTGTCTTATCAGGAGTTAAGCTATAATAAATTCATTTTTTTCTTATGTAATTATTCAGTGGGTACTATTAATACAAAATGTTAGTGAACATAAACACAAGTTCGGATTGTCATAGAGTACCACTGACTTACATGCTGAGTTAGGTTATAGTAAAGTACGAAAGTTTGCTGGTAGTTACTGATTTGTATTTCTCATCTGCAAGAAAAAGCATTAGAACAGAAAAATGGTTAACGAGGTGTAGGGAACTGTTGGAACAGAATTTAGAGCTTCAAACTTCATATGCAGTATCATAATTTAGAACATGAAACGGTTAAAATACTGAAACCAAGCGATAGAAAACGCACAATACTCTGATAAAGATTAATTTGCAAATCAATAACACATTCCAAACGTAAAAACATGGTCAGATTTCGGCAGCATACCAGTAGAAATTCGTCAAATAGTACGAAAAAGTTGACCCAACCGTATAGACTGCCCTACAGACTATACTTTCCTATAAAGCTTAAAACCAGAGAAAGGTGAGTTAGTGCAACTAAACCTTGAAAGGCTGCAAATCCATTGTATTACCTCGAATAATTATTTTTTGTTTATTTGATAATAAAAGACATATTTAGTAGTATTACTGTTAGAGTCCTTTGAACTGCCCTCCTCTAGATTATTTACCAACTTGGAATTGTCCTCCAATCCTTATAGAATTATTACTATTCCTCTGGGTCCCAAGTAGGACGCAGCGTTTCAACAACATCCCTGTTTTATCCAGTTCCCTGAAGTCCTTTATGGTTGACTCCACAACTGTATATTATCTTTCATCTTCTCCTCACACGAGCTCTTCCATGTCAACCTTGAATGTGCAAATAGTTTCCTTTTGGATTACTCTGATCCACTACTCACTCTTGCCAAAATAACACATTTACCTCAAAAAGGATTATTTACCGTGTGTCTCAGTCTAGAATATATAGGGAATCTACACCATTTTAAAAGATGACAAAGAGCAATTATTGCCTCACCACCTCCCTATCAGACTGATATGTTTGACCTAATGGAGAGGCAATCATTAGTCTTTATAAAGTATTTGGTGTGTCAGTATAGCTATGTAGAGCTTATAAGTAAAGCTTGTGCATCGTAATGGACATTGAGGTGTAGGAATTATTTGAACATAGTTAGTTAAGACTCTCCCAGAGTATATTCGTATGTAACAGGCTGTGAGTTAAGCCGATTAAGTGACGGTCAATAATATTACACCGTAAAACACAAAGAAGAGTCGGAGCGGACACCTGAACTGGAATGTTTAGACACTATGTACCTAACGCCCTAAAAGGCAAATACCCTGGGATTTAAATTCCAAATAAATAAGAAGTGGAATGTATAATATCATCAAGAAAAATAGTTACCTGCAAAACACTGAGATAAGTAGCGCGCAACTCAGTTCGCGCGCGCTCCGGGAAAAGAGAGTGACTTTTTTCAGGTTGTGAACTAACTTTAGTTTTTCCCCCAAACAAGCGATGAAAAAGTACCTATAACATTAACAATTCATCCAGGTAAATGATTGCACAACATGCCCACACACTAAACTCAAAAGAATTAGGGGAAATTCACTAGCAAACCGTTTTAGCTCTCCATACTTTTACAAACAACTCTTCCACAACGCGCACGGGGATGAATGCCTTCTAATACACACTGTCTCTGGTTACATGAACTTACACCAGTATGCTAGATACAACCCTGACGAGCACTATTATCTCTGGCTTCCTTGCCAATACTCTCTTAGCCGTCTTCACATTCCCTTGTCTGGCCAAGCAATCTTTACTAGGTATCACCCGTTGCGTGAGTGACCTGAATGGCTACTGGCTCCTTCCAGGGAATCCTGATACTGCGACAACAAAGTGTCCGGTCTGTATAATCCTACTTATGTACATCCCTCATTCCACTATTGTAAACGAAATGCCCCTGCATCGTGTTTCGGAATCTTCACCTGCTTAAACATCTCCATGTTAACGGAAAACGGTACAGCACTTACTCAGAAACGTAAAGGTATTCTACTGCTGACAGTATTCGGTCATTATAATAACTTATCGTCCAAAGATGTACCACCATATCTAACCACTCAGTCAAAGTCTACTCGAAGCTCTTCAGGCTTTTTCGGAATCGTAACAGGATGATGAGGTGTATACCACTTCACACGTGCCGGAAGAGCATGCACCTCGATCAGTTCTATAATGTATATTTTCAATAAGTATCTTGCCATGGCTTCTTTATATCTACTCAGTAGACTACAGTTTTTAAAAAGACCTCATCCAAGGCACTGGAGTCTATCACTCCCCATCCTGTAATTGTATCGCAAGTTGGGACGATCAGATTCCCTTAGCAGTCCCTAGCAGTCGGAACTACTTAATCTGCAACGTGTATCAACTGTGATAAAATTAAACTTGGACTATCCCACTGATTGATTGAAGAGAAGTGGTCATTCACAGAGAAGAGTCTGGGTGGGAACAAATTTACCTGCTGGAGACCGCTGGGAAATCCGGGGACTGACAAGTCCCAAGTAGGAAGCAATGAGCCTTATCCCCGATTACACTAATCAACATTCACCAATTTATTTCAAGTTAGATAGTCAGCTAACACTGAAGCAGCCGCTGGGGCAGTCTACATGTCGAACTGAGGGCGAACACTTCGTGGTATGATGAAGCAACAGGGAAGTTCAAAATGAATTAAAAGCTCTACAATAATTATTCAGCCTTATGATATAACGTGTGTCAATGGAGTTGAAGATTGAACGATCAATTCTTGGTTGTTTGCTCAAAATCAACTTCCTCGATTTTCGCGGAGGCATCAATACGACAGTCATCGTCTCATCGGTCGCTGTTCAGAAAGAAGATTGAAACATCGTCAGAAGTAATACAGAGATTTATTATTGTAATATTTGTTTTCAGACCTTAGTTTTCTTAGTTTGCTTAGTGATACTTGATTTATATGCTGGTGTAACAATACATAATACTCAAGTCAACAATTGGTGTTTTGGTTTTTTCGTCCGTTGTTACTAAGCGTTTCTGAGAAATCTTCTAAGAACAGCGTGGGCCCGAGCGTAGCGAGAGCTGGGCATTAACGGTTTATGAGACGTGGCTGACAGTTTCTGACGATGGAAACAGATCTGGCGGATTGAAACAGTTGGTGAAAGTTTGGATAGTCGCCGTTCATTTTTCCTGGTGCCGGTCAAGTCCTCTTTGAACAAGCAATATCTGGAACTTTTTTGGAATTGGGTCAAGTTCAACAATGCCTGGGTCAAAGAAGGGACAGAGTGTCTTGGATGCAAACAGGAAAGTAAGTCATGGTGACTTGTCTGTTAATTGTAACGATGTGTCTGATGTTAAGCATGACATGGTTGATGTTACTGTTTCGCCGTTCAGGGATAATAGGAACATCAAACTCCCTAAATTAGAACCACGATGTTTTGATGGAAACCCGGCTGATTATTTACAATTTGTAAAGGAGTTTGAGATCATGTTGAGTGGTTTTTTATTAAATGATGAATTGAAATTGATGTATTTGATGAGATATTGCACTGGAGATGCTGCAAGAGCTATACAGTGTTGTAAGTTTATGAAGCCAAAGGAGGGCTACGATGAGGCTATGAGCATATTACGCCAAAGGTTTGGAAGACCCTCGATGATTGCAGGGAAATTATTCGAGGCTGTTGAGGGTAATGGTGGTCAGTTACAGGATGACTCCCAGGCACTCACTGAGTTTTTAGATAATTTGCTAATTTACAAGAATGGAATGATTTCGATGAATCGAATGAGTGACCTCAACTCGAGTTTTATACTAGAAGTAATAGCAAGACGTCTACCTACTCGACTGCAAAGGAAGTGGGTGAAGATAAGCTCCCGTATGGAGGATGAGGGTATCGAGCCAAAGTTTGATGATATCCTGAAACTGGTAAATACTAGTGTCAATCAATCTATGAGCAAGTTCGCCAGTCTGTTAGATCTCACCCATAGAATAGAGCAGTCTGAGGGTAAAACGCACTCATTGATGACGAATAAGCCTCAGAGAGGTGGATATCGAGAAGGCTCCATGATGTCTAGTAATGCATATAGATCTAGTGAGTGTAACAGGTTTCGTAGTACATCCTCAACAGATAAGTTACAAGATGCAAGACAAACACGGTTGTGTTGTACACGTTTGCAAGAGGTGCATACAAAGGTGAACTGTGAACCAGTGAGCAAGTTCAGTGATAAGCTAAATGTAAACTCCAGGCCTGACTCCGAATTGTGTGACGATAACGTTGTTGTGAAGAAGTCTGTAGTTGCAACTGGTAAGCCGTTGTTGAATAGAGTGTCACAGAATAGAGTTACTGCTTCAGAGTGGAGTTCTGACTCCAAAAGTTTACAAAGTATAACTAGTCAGAGTGAAGATATAAAACCTTTAATGATTTGTGAGGAGGAACCAAAATTGTCTACTTCTGTTATTAAAGAGTTTGAAAATGATGAACTTGACGGTAAATTGTATATATGTGATAATGATCATGATAGTGCAGATTTGTCTTTGGTTGATCATGATGAAATGGAGGGAATGCCTACTACTGCTAAGTTAAATAAAGGTTCTGTACAACTTGAACGTGAAGTAGAAATAAATGCAGATTCAGTTGCAGAAGGCATGCATACTTGTGAGACCGTCAGTGTAATTGATCAGCGTGTAGCCCACCTATCATCAGATGATAGTGCTAAACCCGAACTAGTAGTGAAAGACAGCAGTGGTGGTAATCTTGCAGTTGGACAACTATCTGAGAGCCGAACAAGAACAGCTTCTGATCCACCACTAAGTTCATCACCTTGTGTCACTCAGTCATCGTTGGTGTTTTCATCCACAATGAAACAGATGCCCATCAACTCAAGTATCTTCTGCAATGACTATGGTAGTATCAGTTCGTTTGAAAGGACGAATATCAATGGTCAGTTTAGTGTGGATAAGCCAAGTGTAAAGGAGAGAGTAATTGTTAAATTGACTTGCACGAATAAAGGCATTTCTAGTTTCAAGTTACTATTTGAATGTTATTATCTTTGGTGTAAATTACTCTGTTTCTATACTTGGTTGATGAGATATGTCGTGTGTTTGTTGGTCATCTATATTCTACGATACAATGACATGGGCGTGTTGCCGTTCAGATTTGAGGATATAGCTGATAGAAGGAAGTTAGCAAATGAACTCTGCGACGATTTTCCAACCTAGGGCGTCAACCTGAGAAGGGTTGTAGGCGTACTGCTGTAAGTCCTACAGTTCTTCAAAGGGTAGCGCATCAATGAGCAGTCCAATGTGCTTGGTGTATGATCTTGTACATATGTTCATATTGTATATACTGAATTGATATCATCTGTCATCTAGCTGTTGGTAATTCTGTTTGTGTCCGGACGACTTCCACTTGGATCATCAACCTGAGAAGGAATGTAGGCGTACTGCTGTAAGTCCTACAGTTCTTCAAGGGTAGTTTGTCGTGTCGGAATCCACAACATTTGATGTGTTGATTGTACATATGTTTGTGTTAAATAGTTGTGTGATTTCCAATTGATGTAATTGTTGGTTAATCTTGTTTGTGTCTGGACATTCCACAACTTACAATCGTCAACCTGTGAAGGGTTGTAGGCGTACTGGTGTAAGTCCTGCAATTCTTCAAAGGAATTACATCAAGACATGATCGGTGAAGTTGTTTGTACTGTTTGTATATACGTGTGGTGTGTCATATCAATTTGTGATTTTGGATTCATTGTGTTTACTTGTTGTTTTCGTGTCTTGTTGTTATTGCGTAATTTTGTTAAAATTTTCGTCGTGATTACTTCTGAAGTTGTTTCGAGTCTTCTACATCCATGAATGAATTGATTGATGTTAAGGACAGCAGATGGGTCGTATACGCCGGGGAGGCTAGGCTATTGCTGAGAATGAAATGCACACGGAGATAATTGTTAGCTGCGGTCCGACACGCCGGGGAGAAAGAGTGTAAACGACTGAGGCTCGCATGCGTCACCGCTACTAGAACTGAGGCAGAATGAGTGACAAGCGATTTCAGTGGTAATTGATAGTGAATAGAAAAGAGGATGCTTGAAGAGTATCATGAGGTGCTGCTATGGTCACGTTGCATTCTGCAAGAGTCATTCTAGCAAGTGGCGATTGTGTTGCAAGATGTCAAGAGGAGGTCTCTGTCTGGAGGCGCAGGTCGTCATTGATGTGTGAGATTGTGCTGTGGGTATGCTTGTGGTGTGTTGGCTTTTCTGTTTGTTTTCCATTTCAGCTCTGTCCGTGTGACCCAGGTTCTCGCAATGGCATCCAAGTCAACGTGCATTGATCGTGAAGGAAAAAAGGGTTGGATCCCTTTTTTGCCGGGGAGTGTCAATGGAGTTGAAGATTGAACG